AGTGTACGCTGTGGAGAAGTACATTGGTGAGTCAATGAATTTTATTTTACATTTCTTCTTGTCATTTTATTTCGTTAGTATTAAATTCATGGTAATGAAATAAAATGACAAAGATACAAACATGTATCAAATAAATCTGCTCACCTGCAATTTATAATGGCGCATTGTAGTCACCTTCGTGCACGAAAGTTCGTTCAATCTCAGCTGTTAGTCAGTTATTAGTTAGTCAGTTATGTCAGTTATTTGCTGTTGTATCGCCGATTTTCAAAATGCAAATGATCTGTTTACTTTATTTTCAAAGAACAGTTTGTTTTGTTATTGTTTGGCTGGTGTCTTATACGAAACTGCGACATTGCGCAATTTATTGGACAGACTTGTTTAAGATCACACAGCGTAATTTGGGTGGCATTTTATTTCGTATTTTTAAATCATCTTTTTATTTTTGACTATTTGTAAATGTAGTTTCCTGCTCTTAATTGTGAATGCATACTTGATGGTTTTAAATGCTCCTGAAATTAAGTGCTGCTTCACGAGCCTATACAGTATTGTGTTCATGTATGTGACATCACTGAAGGCCTAAGGTTGAAATTCACGGCCCGCCACTGATAGTCTAGTCAAGTATAGTATAGTATAGTAATAATAAGTGTGTCCAAAACCCATTCATTTCATGTGCCCCCCTCACAAGTCTGAGTTCTTGTGATGGGTCTTGTCTCGATACACTTCTGAAATAAGAAACCACCAAAAGAAAACTACATTTTATTGCTCAGTTTAGTCACCACTGATGTACTGGTTATTTATTCAATATTGCAATTTGTGTCTCCAAATTTTTATTCCCATTCACAACAGATATATTCTGTCTGTAATTACTAAATGTTGTACTTTATATACTTCCTCTCTGGCCTGTATTGATGATAGAGCAATAGTGGCTAAAAAGACTTCACCAGCAGGGGTCTTGCCAGAAAATTTTCAGTGAGGTGGCCAGGAAGACATGGTACCTCAGTGAGACATGGCCGTGCATGAGTGAGTCATTCTTTATCATCCGCAGTCAGGGTTTCATGAAAGAAAATTTCCACATCTTCAGAACAATGCTCGTCACACTCATAATCAATGGGAAAGAGTCCAAGTAAAAAAGCAATGTTTTGAGAAGCTTAAATTTATGAGATAATAGCATTTTCTTTGCCATGAGTTTGCTTTGGTGTCGTTCGTAGACTACTATCTCAATCAGTGATTCACTAGCTAACAGCCAATCAGACTGATCAATTGTCACGACAGCCATTGCCGTTTTGTGTACTGCAATCAATGGTTCATTTATTCCAATCATATCTATAAAGCACGATGACACGTAAATCCCTGAATTATGACTATTTTAAATGTTGCTTTTTACTTAAGTTGCTTCCTGCTTGTATTATGAGTGTGTGCGCAAGACTGGCATATGTGTCCATTTCATTTAAAGAAGTCATGGCTATGAATGATATGTGATTTCTCAGCCATGCTGTTTGCTTGCTTTGGGGGTCAAAGTAATAATTTTGCTTGACAGGGACTGTAAAACTCAGAAGATTCTTTACTTAAGAGATTCCTTTAGTGTTTGCTTTCATATCAACTGTGTATTTCTTATTGAAATATACCATCCATTTTCTCAACTCAACTCAACTGTATTTATAGAGCACTTTCAAACAGCCATTGCTGCATACAAAGTGCTGTACATGGAGCAACTATCACATACAACAGTAAAGCAACAAATTCGTAACAAAGACGGTAGAAAGCACTGAACAGCAAAACCAAGAACAAATCTGAGTCATGCTGAGTCAAATGCCAAAGAATACAAGTGAGTTTTGAGGCGGGTTTTAAAGATGGGCAGCAAGGAGGCTCAAAAGCCTATCCCAGCTGTCTTCGGGCAGTAGGCGGGGTCACCCTCAACAGGTTGCCAGCCAATCACAGGGCACACAGAGACAAACAACCATCCGCGCTCACACTGAACACCGAGGGGCAATTTTAGAGTGTTCAATCAGCCTGCCATGCATGTTTTTGGAATGTGGGAGGAAACCGGAGTACTCGAAGAAATTGGGGCATATACAATTAATAGAAATAACTTGTGGCAGAATTACGGAATTGGGTTTGTAAAGTTATCAAGTACAAATCAAGTAAAATGACGTTGAAATTACTCAATGCTGGTGTTTTTATCCTTCATCATGGAGTCCCTCGACAAACAGGGACAGTACCCTGCATTAAACAGTTCTGTTTTTAAAATGGTTGTATTTTTGAAGTTATATTTTGTTGATGACACTGTTTCTGTTGATAACAAGTGTTTGTTGATTTAACACTCATTTATTTTTTTTTCTCTCTTTTATTTTTGCTCGGCATAACAGCACATGCTTCAGCAAGTGGGGATGTTCCCGCCGATGAGGATATTGCATCAGAGGATTGACACTGTCTGATCCTGTGCAGCCCTGTAGCAATAGACTAGCTATTCATGCTTGATGTTAGCAAAATACCCATTGTTGAGTTTTGTTGGAGTTTAATTGAAATTTTATGAGGCGCAAATCTGAAGGACATTTTGGGGAGTTTTTTTTTTTTTTGTGAGCGGGGGGTTAACAAAAAGAGAAAAATAATATCACATCAAGGGGGATGAGTGGGTCAAACATACCAGCAGGTTGTAGAATTTGACCTCAATGCCAAAGGATAACGCCAGAGTCTTATATAATGAGAAGCCTGGACGTGGAACCAGGATGTTGTCCCCAGGATTACACAGGACACTGATAGCCAAGTCAATGGCCTGACTACAGCCACTAGTCAAAATCACATCCTGTGTAGAATGGGGAGAGATGTTTACAAGTAGGATAACACATTACGGACCTATTAATATTGTATGTATTTATCCTTGTCATGCTGCAGGAATTTTCAACAGGTCACAATTTCATTTTTACTGCTATCACTGGTGAGTTAGAATGCAGACATCTCACCTCTGCTTCAAGAGGAGCCTCAGAGCAGCTGTAATAGTTGGCTACCACCTGTCGGCTCTTTAAGTAACCTGCCAGAAAAAATATAGAGAGATCTTCAGGTACTAAGAAACAATCAAGAGCAAATAAATGAAAGAGAGATCTGTTTTATAGCTGGTGGGGTGGGGGCGTACCCCAGCCGTCTTCGGGCAATAGGCGGGGGACACCCTGAACCGGTTGCCAGCCAATCGCAGGGCACACAGAGATGAACAACCATCCGCGCTCACACTCACACCTTGTGACAATTTAGAGTGTCCATTCAGCCTGCCATGCATGTTTTTGGAATGTTGGAGGAAACCGGAGTCCCCAGAGAAAATCCACGCAGGGACGGGGAGAACATGCAAACTCCACACAGTAAGACCGGAGCTGGGATCGAACCCACAACCTCTGCACTGTGAGGTCAACGCACTAACAACTTGATCACCGGGCCGCCCCCATGAAGAAGTCCAGTCTGCCCTTTGCACATGCCGTGACAAGGATTCGAACCAGGATTGCTGCGGCCACAACGTAGGGTTCTAACCACTATACAATTTAGTATTAGTATGATACTCTGCGGGTGGCTGGCAACCAATTCAGGGTGTACCCCACCGACTGCCCGAAATTGGCTGCGATAGGCTCCAGCACGGCCACAACCCTCGTGAGGATAAAGCGGAGCAATTTTCAAACCATGGTGAGCAACATCCACTGACGTATATCTGCAGGATGATTGGACTGACAATGCAGCCGTAGCGAAAAGTGAAGCCACCGGCGGACCGGCGGCCATCTGACATTACGCGAAGTGCACCTAACTTGAATATACAGTGATCCCTCGCTATTCCGCGTTTCGTTTATCACGGCTTCAGTGCATCGCGGATTTTTTCAAACATATTCATAAGAAAAAATAATAATAAATAAATAAATAAATAAAAATTCATATACATGTAGTACAGTACTGTATATGTTGCTCTTTGTGACTTGCTGTTGTTTTGTATATATATATATATAATTTTATTTTGTTATTCATAAACTAACCTAACTTATACATGTTTAAATCTATTAGTATACAGCATTAAGTCATGTTAATTACTTCAAAATTTACTTCTACATGCATGTATACCATTAAATTTGGCCTTACAAATATTATATACATGTACCTATATGGAGGGGGTGGGGGTCGCTATTTCGCGGATTTTCGTTTTTCGCGGGTGGTTTTGGTCCCCATTAACTGCAATAAATGATGGATTACTGTACTGATTTCTCTGTGGCGTTTTTCATGTTCTTTTCTGTCTTGACGGCAAATATGCCACTGAGTGTGGCCGACGGTTGTATCAGTAAGGCCGGAAGATTTTTTTTGTACCATGGGCCGTAAGGATATATTTTGACGGACCGCTGTAGCTGCGGCATAGCGACACACAGGTGGTGACTGTCCTACAAACCGCTTGGATACCATCTCACTACGAATGTAGTTGTTAACGCCAGAGTTCACCGAATCAAGCCAGCATCCACCACAACAGTTGTTCAAGCATTACGCAATGTGCTGGGAGGCTGAACTTCAAAATAAAATTGCTACTAGTCGGACTGTACATGGATATGAATGCCTTAGTTTTCCCAGACGTGTTTAGAACATCTAGTTTTTAATCACTAAAATATACGCACAATCGTCCATTTCGTCGGTTAAGATGTTTTTCTTTGTGTGTTATTGACACTATGAACACAGGCTGACCGTCTTAAGATTGTATTATGGTACTTCTGGTTCTGAGCGATTTTAATTTGCATGCTAGCTAAATTTTTGGTTCCACACGAACCGTGCAATTAACATTTAGATACTGTATACTGTATATTTTGATTGAACATTTACTTTTATAATTAACATTTAGGGTTCATATTTAAAAATATTAGGTGCAACTGTAATTTAATGTTTGTATTTAACCATTTCATGCAGTTCATCTCAAAAGTTGAGAAATACTGTGGTAAATGTGCAAAAATGTCCATCCATCCATTTTCCGATTCTCATATCCTCACAAGGGTCGCGGGGAGTGCTGGAGCCTATCCCAGCCGTCTTCGGGCAGTGGGACACCCTGAACCGGTTGCCAGCCAATCACAGGGCACACAGAGACGAACAACCATCCGCGCTCCCACTCACACTTCGGGACAATTTTGAGTGTTCAATCAGCCTCCCATGCATGTTCTTGGAATGTGGGAGGAAACCGGAGGACCCGGAGAAAACTCACGCAGGCCCGGGGAGAACATGCAAACTCCACACAATTGAATTGAACCCGGTACCTCTGCACGATGAGGTCGACGCGCTAACCACTGGACCACCGGGCCGCTGTGCAATAAAGTGATTCTCAGAAATGTCAACCAGTTTTTGAAAGGCCGCTTGAAGTTAATGTGGCCAAATGTTGCTGTTATTTTAGCGTGGCCAGCTTTATATATCATCAGCCTCTCATCCATCCATCCATTATCCAAACCGCTTATCCTCACGAGGGTTGCGGGCGAGCTGGAACCTCTGCCAGCTGTCTTCGGGCAGTAGGCAGGGTACACCTTGATTTGATTTGATTTGACTTTTTATTAGGTCTCCCATAGGAGAAACTTGTCTCGGAGGACAGTTCCTCTGTGCTGCTACATACATTGAGCAAAAAACATACACATACACAGCACAACATAATTAGGACAATTACATACAAGACAAGACAGTATACACTCTACACACATTGGACACTACATTACAGTCGTGTGCACCCCCTCACCCCCACCACACTCATGTCCTTCCACTTGTCTGTCTGCCTCCTTCTAATTGTTTATTGATTAAAATGGTAGCCTGCGGTATGAATGAGTTTTTATACCAGTTTAATTTGCAGAGAAGAGTCCTATACCTCTTTCCTGAGTTTAGGAGTTGAAATTGGGAGTGTAGCACATGAGAAGGATTGTTTAAAATGTTGTTTGCCTGTTGAATAACGGACTGCACATATATGTCCTGGGGAGCAGGGGGGCACCTTCTAACTGGTTGCCAGGGCACACATCGACAAGCAACCATTTACACTCACAATCACACCTAGGGACAATTAACCTACAAGGCATGTTTTGGGAATGTGGAAGGAAAGCGGAGTACCTGGAGAAGACCCACAGGCAAAGGGGAGAACACGCAAACTTCACACAGGGATGCCAGAGCCCCGATTCGAAACCTCGACCTTTGCACTGTGAAGTGGACATTCTAAACAATCGACTACCGCCTGGCCTAAGTCACATTTTGCTTAAACCATATCCTCATTATGCAGGCCACCTCTGATAAAATCTGCAACATGTGGTAAACAGACCATTCAATTCTACCCCTGAAATGAATTAGCTTTATAATATAATCAGTATTTGGTTCATTTTATTATGTTTTCTGAAAAAACTGAATGTCGCTGATGGTGTAGTGGTACACTTTCTCTGAGTTGTGTGCGGGCAGCGAGAGATGGGTTCCCACTCAGTAATGTTGTGGAAGTGGGTGTGAATGCTCATGTGTCTCTACATGTGCCCTGAGACTGGCTGGCAACCAGTTCAGGGTGTAGTCTGTCTTCTGTCCCCGAAGTCAGCAGAGATAGGCTCCTGCAACGTCCCGCAACCCTCTTCAGGAGAAGCGGTGTTGAAAATGGATAGATGGATGAAAAAAAAAGGAAAAAATGACCCGGGCCAATATTTTAGGAAGGTGATAATATAAAGCACGATGAAACTTTATACATGTTAATCGTCAAGAATAAAACAGATCTCAATCATTACACAAAAAGTGTTTTTTTTTTTTTCAAAATCCAAACTTTGTGAGTAATATAGAGTAAAACGGAAAGGTGGCCCCTTCTTATGTAGCTTCTATCTATATACTGTGGCTTCTTCCTACAGTTTCAACATTTGAATTTTACTAAATTGAAGGCTTTAAATTGCTTTGCTGGTGTGAATGTGAAACACTGTGACTGATCATATTTAGAATGTTGCTCTGTTTTTATTTTATTTTTTTTAATTCATTTTCTGACAGATAAAACTCACCAACAGAAGGAGCATAGCCATTGTATTGGTGCGAATTGATTGCATCTTTCATGGCTTGAAGCACCGCATCATCTGTTGGAAGGTTTCCAAAGACGGTAGGATCCCCTATGGAGCACATGAGCAAGTCAGCTTTGTGTTGGCAGTCAGACAATGTCTTCTGAAAAGAAGATCCTCTTTTGGAAATTGCTGAGGCATGCATTGTTCTGTCATTGACTAAACACGTTGGTGATATGTACTGTATGCTTCACAGTTGAAATAATTTTGGCTTGCTATTCCGTTCATGGAATCTCAGTACTCTGATATCACAAACAGCCTTCTCACCAATCGAAAGGCTGATCATGGCTTTATCCGGGTGTGGGGAGAGCTTCATCCCATCGACGATGGCCCTTATGGGATTCAGGGTGTTGTTAGCCATCAAGGAAGGCTTCACTTGCCATGTCTTCCTGCAGCGCTTGTCTTTGACAGGAGAAGAATTCCCACTGACGCCGGCATGGTGAATGGCCTTCCTGTTGGCTCCATTCCCATTCAGGTTTTTGCCATTGGCATTCTCATTCATCTGAACCAAATTCGACTTGGCATCATTCCTGGCACTGTTGTGGAGAATGATTTTTGGAACAATAAAGTAGAGGAACATTTCCACTTAATCATGAAAATATTATAAATAAACAATATTTATTTAATATGCATTACTGAGTCAACACAATAATGAATTTGTTTTTGATTGCACATACTGTATGAGTATTGATATTATTGTTATTTATCGGTATCTATAATAGTAGATGTACCTTTCACTGAAGCAAAAGCATGAAAATTTACTGAAAGTGTCAAAGTCTGAGTCATCAAGCAGACCATAAATGGAGCCTAATCGACACAATAACCAGCATTATGAAAGTATGAAAATCATTTTAGAACACAACTGACAGACAAGCGCAATTTCATAATATCCTCAGAAAAAGAGCTGAATAAACCCTGCGCCAAAGTCTTTTAATTGGAAAATTCGAAAGCAGATGGGCAAGACCTCATCATCACCATCACCATCATCATCATCATCATCATCATAGAATAAATACTATGCCCTATTTTTAGGAATTCAACAAAATGTTATTCAAATATCAGGACAATCATGAGGTTCTTACCTCATGATCAGCTCACTCTTCAATTTTCCAAATTCAGCTTGAGGGTAGATTAAGGAGTCTTGCAATAATAAATACAGAAGGATTTGACAGGACCATTTTATAGCAGGACTTCAGAAAATGGGTGTTGAACCGAACCCATATTTCTATTGGTGGAGGCCGAGAGGGTTGCACTGCAACACCCCCTTACTAACAGCACTAACAAGAACCATACCTCCAACCCTCCCCACCACCTTATCGGCGAGAAGAGGGGGTGGATTCAGCAGAGCACACGCTTCCTGATGTTGCAAGAAGAGCATTAGGCACCCAAATCACAACAGGCATGCACAAAAAGTCGCACGCAGAACTGATTAATCCATATTTAGTTTCCATCATATTTTATGCTGTACATTGGTCCTCTGAAGCAAAACCGTGACTGAGTACCACAGATGTTCAATTTCATCTTAATATTCTCTCATTCAGCTGCATGACTAAATCTATTTTACTGAACCTAATATTTTGTTATTATTCTAGTTGTGTATGCTATCCTGCAGCAAAAAACACCCACGATTGTCAAATATCATTCCTCTATTTTAGCTGAATGAATAATGAAAACTAAAATATGACTCAGCACCTTAATATCTGGAACGTGTCGTTGAAATATTTCCAGAAGTTCATTCCTCGACGAGCCTGTCCCGAAAGATCAAACTCGTCTCTCCTGTCAAACCTTCCACTCCAACCTGTTTGTTTAACAGAACTGCAGCCTGGGGAGCTTCAGAGCTTTTTACATGGGTGAAAAAAAAAAAACAAACAAAAAAAAACATAGGTCGTTCATCATCAGCTCATAAGTATAACCCAATTCATATTTAGTTAAATAACATGCTAAATCCAACAGAATATGCACTCGAAAATTATTGACTTCAAAAAATATTTGTTTGACGTTTCAATCTGCATATGTAATATGAAAATGTTAAATTCATTTTTTTTTTGCACAGTCATAGCATAAATGTGTCTTAGTAACATGTTGTTTGGTAATAAAGTGTACATTGCAGGTTAAAACGGAGGCGTCTTTCCCTTGGCATTGGCACTTCCATTCTTACCGAATTCAAGCAAGTTTTGTGGTTGTCGTGAAAGTATTTCACTTGAAAATGTAACTTGATGTTGTCATGACTATAACCTGCATAAGTACCCAGCTAATGCACTATTAAAGCTAAAAATTTCCAGAATTTTTTTTAAAACAACAACTATGTGACCGTGAGAGTAGCCATGTGTCAACAAATGTTGTTTGACTAAGTGTTTGCCACAAGCCTCCAGAATGTCCAGTGTTGTTTTTTTAAATCAATATAATCAGTCAGAAAGAAGAGTTTGGACAAAACACAGCAGTTGGCACGTCCTCCCGTGATTGTGTTTGTATTCCCTTCATGGTGAGTGGAAAATTAAACACTTAACATAATCTTCCAACAGAAGACTCCACGCGCCATTGACGTGTCAGGCCGGAAATACAATACTTCCTCTTTAAAAAGATATTTTGGCATAAGATGGTGGGGGCAGTGGGGGTGGGGGTTGTCAGGGAAATTTATGAGAAGGTTGAGACAATCCCTAAAAACACAATTAAAACAACAATAACATTCATACTCTAATGTGTACAATGTTTTGTTTGGACGTTTACAGACCATTCCTCAGCCTTCTTTCAAAAGTGTGACAACATTGTCTAGTACAGGGGTCCCCAACCGCCGGTCCGCGGACCGGTACCGGTCCGCAGGGCATTTGGTACCGGGCCGCACAGAAAGAACTTGCCTTATTTCCGTTTTATTTATTTCGGAATACGAAATATGTTTTATTTTGAAAAATTACCGGATTCTCTGTTACATCCGTCTGTGTCACGCTTGACTCACGTCAA